CCATGCTTTATGCAATTTCGACCCCCAGCTCGTTGCGGGTCGGGTTTCGAGCCCGGACCTTGGGCCCAAAGTTGGGCTTTGCGGAAGTCTAAAGGTTATACATACTATGAAGTGAGTCACATATAGCCTTTATAGATGCACCGCCCTGAGAGAGAGATATAATCTCATCTCTAAGGCTCAATATCAACTGCTGGTGGCATATTGAGGTGGTCCCAAGAAAGAAAGGTAAGTTTAGAATAGGCGGAATGTATTATGTTTGTTAGAGATACTAGAGATCTACGATGAATGTAGATGTAACTGGAAATCTCTTGATGCGTTGAGAGAGAGAGAAACTATCTACATGCTATGACTGAGACTAAGTACTGGGAGCAAACAGTGGTGGTCGCGTGACCTTCCAACAATGTTATAAACTACAAAAGGCGGAAACTCTAGCGGTGAATCTTACACATGTATTAATAAGCATTGTCAAATTTGGTTCAAAGCGGCTGCTGTAGGTGGGACTTCACCAGGCATCGGCTTACGAGCCCACACCCTTCTTCTGTGCTAGTGGTCAGTTTGGATGGCGGAGATAATGAGCGATGATATATCGGAACTTACGCTTTATGATACGCATGATAGTTTGGGTTCTTTAGTTCACTGCGTAGTTTAGCACAGTACACATGAACTTGCTCCTTAGTCCACGGCTCGGGATCACCAAATTTTGTCAGCAGCCACATGCACCACCCCTCCATACCAAACATCCAATGTTGGCAATTGACCATACCTGCCTCCTTGAATTTGTGGTCTCTGGCCCATGGCCCAATTGGCCATTTGTAAATTTTTTCGTGCACGTCCACGAACCCTGCGTTCTTGATGCTCTCCGACATGGTGAAGACGATATCGCAAGAGCGACCCGCGCGTTCACCGCACTTTTGTATAAGCGGGCCCCATGAGGACAAGGCACTATCGGCTGGGAGACTCTCATCGTCACTTGTGATAAAAGGGCCAGCCTCGATCTGTTCAATCCATCCACCAGGGGCCATTTTCCTGTTCTGCTGTCAGATTGGCAAAGTCACTTAGCTCCATTGATAACCTACTCAAAGCAGTGCTGGTAAACAATGTCCCACTCAGAAGAGTTAAATGATCCGATCATATTGCGCATATGAATTAGATCGAATTTTTTGCGCCATGTCCACTCTTGTAGCACATCATCGACCTCCATAATGCAATTGGGTGGCATCCAGGTGACTGGAGGGGGAAAAAGATCAACTCCTCGGACGATAGCATTTGGGAACATATCAGCGACATCACTAAGACTGATTAGCATTTAGCCTTTTCAATGGCATAGGAACAGTCTACGTACATGGCCCAAGTGCCCTTTCCGGTTCCAATGTCGAGAACCTCTAGCGGGCGTTCTTGGTTTATCCCAACGGGTGACCGAAACAATGGATTGTCTCGATCCGAGTCCATGATGAGATCTACAAGATGTCTACCGTGATAGTCAGACGCGTATCCTAGACAAGGATTGGAAAATATACCCTGCTTCATAGGTTTCGAATTGTTGCTCATCGGATGGAACACTATAAAGAAATTAGTCTATTCTGAATGTGACATTTAAAAATTCAACAACATACCAATATTCTTTGGTCGAAAGCGACTGATATCTATAGGAAAATGAGGTTATTTTGAATATCATAAAGTGATCCAAATTTTCGAGCTCTTACCGCCTCCCATTGTCCATCAAACCACGATAGATGGAGGACCTTATCGAGGTAGTCTCCCTAATGATGCGTAAGGAACATGTGAAGAATGTTTGTACATGATATCATTCATCATTTGCAAACTCACGACTGCCAGTCATCAGGACTATACATGCTCTCAGGAGGGTACAAGTCTGGATCCACAGCGATGGCCTCCACACCCATATTGTTTTCCTCTCTTTCTCTCTTTCTATAAATATGGCCGAAGCGCAAGTAAGAAAAGCAAATAATAGGGTACTCGAATTTGAGGAACAAGGAGGGAGAAAAGAACATCAGAGCCCTGGAGAGACTAAGGTTTATGTTAAAAATCCGTGGACCTCTTTGGACTTTTGTACTTTTGTTTCCCGCGAGGGAATTGCTGATTGGCTGGGGAAATAGGAACTTCCACTCTCGAGACTTGCCCAACTTCGTCAACCTTGGAATTTGAAACCTTTGCGTTCGCATTTTCCCCACCCGGAAGAACCAACATCTTCCCGCTGGACCTGCTATTGGCTGGTCAATATTAACGTAATTTAGCCTATGCTTGGGCACCTAGTTGACGGGGGTCTTACTAGTGCTGAGCAAGGGTGCCCACATTAAAATTGATTACGGTGACCCTATCAAAATAGAAATATGGTAGAGTGCGAAGTTGCAAAGTAGCCAAAGGTCAAAGGCCTGGTTTTGTAGGGTTGATGCCTTGGCGTACCTCAATTATAGACCGCCTTCGGCACCGCTCTATACCGTATACTGTACTCTTAAAGCTACTTGTTGGAAGTCATGTGACTTCCCTGTTTGCTCCTGTAGTGTGAGGGATGGATGATGACATACGTATTATTAAGCAGCGTACTTATCCTACGCAACAATTCTATAGTAATAAGATCATCTTTACCACAACCAGGTTAATTCCATAACACATTGGTAGCATGTCCTGATCAAGCCAGAGGTCCTCTGGTTAGGCATACCATACGGTTACCGAATTTTCCGGTCGCTAAGCCCCTGGGTTACCAGCGGTGGAAGGGTTCAGATCACCTACAAGATCACCTACGCTTCGCATACAACTTACGCCTCCCTCAGCTCACTACCCCACTAGCCCCAATGCAGGGCACACAGCAGGACGTCCCGCAGGGACCTTCGTCCAATATCACCCTGTCGAGGGCTGAACTGCATGAAATCCTTGATGACGCGCTTACTCGAGCTCGTACACGCGAGGTCGACAACGTTCGAGCAATAGTTGACAAAGTCATCACGGCGCGTCGTGACGATATCCGCGGGCCACCGGGTCGAGACGGACAGGATGCACCACATAGCACCGCGCACTGGAAGACGGACGACGTAGGTTACTTCACACCTGACCCTACGTCAGACGTACATGTACGCACTCTTCGGGGAACCACGTACTACGCGAATGTTTATGCCTTCATCAACCAGCTAAAGGCATTGACCCC